CATCATCATCATCCTCTTCTCATCCTCATCCTCCTCCTCCTCATCATCATCATCATCGTCATCGTCAGTGCCATCGTCTCCATCATCATCATCATCATCATCAGCATCATCATCATCATCGTCGTCATCATCATCATCATCATCAGCATCACCATCATCACCACCATCACATCATCATCCTCATCATTATCATCATCGTCATCAGCATCATCATCATCATCATCATCATCCTCATCATCATCATCATCAGCATCATCATCATCACATCATCATCATCGTCATCACCATCACCATCATCCACCATCATCATCATCATCATCATCATCATCATCATCATCATCATCATCATCATCATCATCATCATCATCATCATCATCATCATCGTCAACACGAGCAACAGCATCGTCCTCATCAGGTAACGCGCCGCGCGGGCGCGGCCGCGGCCGCGGCCGCGGCATGTCCCCGCGACTCAATTTGGCGGCACGCAGAGGGGGACGCACGGCGCCGCGCACGGGATGGAGCATCAGTGCCAGCTGCCACCGCAGACGAAGGGCCCCCCCGTCCCTGGCGATGCTGAGCGGGCTCCAGCTCGCCGATGCGATCTGACGAAGGCAGAGCGCGCACAATGGGGTATGGGGGAGGTTGGGCGGGCTTCTTAGAAGGAGGCTGCTTCCTAGAAACCGCTGGCCCTACATCCGTGTAGACAAGGCCCGGGCCTCCGAAGACGCAGGGGTGCTTCTACGGAGCCTTCCCACCTCCCCCATACCCTTAAGTCGGGCACGTCCCCCTACAGGAAGAATATTCAGGAATAGCCAAATCAAAGGATAATATGGGAATGATGTTTCGACTATGTTTGACTACTTTTGGATATCTCTTTGACTACTTTTAGGATTTTCCTCGAAAAACCGCCTGTAGGAGGACATGCCCGACCCGACCCCCTTCTGAGCATGGCCGATCAGTGTCGGGTGTGGCTAGAAGCACCCCTGACCAAAGGTGCCCCCAGGATTTCCAAGGATGCCCCCGCGGCCTTTAGAGCACCCCTCACGAGACCCCGAGGGCCGCAGGGGCTCCAACATGTGGCACGAGTGGCATGGAGAACACACCTCAGGGTTGCTCGCGTCGCTTGGGGGCCCTCGCCTGGCCCTGGGACCGTCAAAACGCGACTCGCGATAAGTAGCGGGTCCTTGGGAAAGGGTCGAGACTGTTGTGGAGAACCCGCATGCAACAAAAAAAACAGGACAGCGCCCTTGAGGTATCATCGGCAACTCTTTGGGACGCCTTTGGGCTGCATGTGGCCCTCTCATCGCCACGGCTGTGCTCCCCCTGGCATTCTGGCCCGGGGCCCGCCTGGAGCAGGTCCAGGGATCGATCGTTGACCCTGGGGCCCTGCCGTCCTAGAGGCCTCCCAGGTGGTGTCCGAGCAGATGGGGTCGGAGGATCGCGCCGCATCGGCGATGCATCGGCGATACATCGCCGATGCGTCGGCGATGCACCGGCGACGTCGGCGGTGCCATCGGCGCCGTCTGCGTGGAGAAAACCGAGCTCCGCATGGAGCCGCAGCGCCGCTGCATCGGTGATTCGGCGCGATCCTCCGACACCATCTATTCCGACCCCATCTGGGAGGCCTAGAAAAACGACTCAGGACGGCAAACCGGTCCCTGGGAAGGGGTCCAGACCTCCTCTGGGGTTCGATTTTGTGGAAAAATCACGACGTCGGGGTCTCGTCCTCCCAGGCTCGTCTTCATCCTCGTCCTCGTCCTCGTCCTCGTCCTCCTCCTCCTCCTCCCCTCCTCCTCCTCCTCCTCCTCCTCCTCCTCCTCCTCCTCCTCCTCCTCCTCCTCCCTCCTCCTCTCCCCTCCTCCTCCTCCTCCTGTCCTCCTCCTCCTCCTCCTCCCGCCTCCTCCTCCTCCTCCTCCTCCTCCTCCTCCTCCTCCTCCTCCTCCTCCTCCTGTTTCGCCTCCTCCTCGTCCTCCTCGTCCTCCTCCTCCTCCTCCTTATCCTCCCCCTCCTCCTCCTCCTGGTCCTCGTCCTCACACCATCCTATTCTTACTGCTTGTCCTCGTCCTCCTCATCATCGTCTTCGTCGTCGTCGTCGTCCCCCCACCCACTCACCTCCTCATCCTCGTCCTTGTCCTCCTCGTCATCGTCCGTCTTCCTCGTCGTCGTCGTCCTCCACGACCTTGTCTTGCTTCTTCACCTTCGCCAACTCGTCCTCGTCCTCGTTCTCCGCCTCCGCCTCCGCCTCCTCCCTCTCCCTCTCCTCCTCTTCCTCCTCCTCTTCCCTCCTCCTCTTCCTCCTCCTCCTCCTCTCCTCTCCTCCTCCTCCTCCTCCTCCTCCCTCCTCCCCTCCCTCCCTCGACTCTCCTCCTCCTCCTCTTCCTCCTCCTTCCTCCTCTCCTCCTCCTCCTCCCTCCTCCTCCTCCTCCTCTCCGCCTCCTCCTCCTCCTCCTCCTCTCTCCTCCTCCTCCTCCCCGCCCTCCTCCTCCTCTCCTCCTCCTCCTCCTCCCTCCTCTCCTCCTCCTCCTCCTCCTCCTCCTCCTCCTCCTCTCCTCCTCCTCCTCCTCCTCCTCCTCCTCCTCCCTCCTCCTCCTCCTCCTCCTCCGGTCCTTCCTCCTCTCGGTTCTCCTTCTCCTCCCGGTCTTCTTTCCTCCTCCGTCACGCACGGGTTTACGACCCCCTCTTCCGCGTCCGTCTGCCAGCCTCGAGGTATCCCGGTGTCCGTGGGGGTGGGGGAGGAGTACCGAGGTGGCGAGCATGCTTTCCTCGCGGCTGTTGAGGCGGCTGGGCCAACGTCCCCCAATCTTTTCTAGCAGGCAAGATCGCCTCGAAGACCCCGTTGTTACGTTCTGGTTGGCGGCGGGTGTCCGTCACTTGGGCTCGCGCGAAGCCAGACATTAAATTGCTGGTGTGCTTCTTTGTCGTGTACACCCTTGCACTCTTGCTCCTGCTCCTGCTCCTGCTCCTGCTCCTGCCCCTCCTCCTCCTCCTCCTCCTCCTCCTCCTCCTCCTCCTCCTCCTCCTCTCGGTCTTCTTCCTTCTCCTCTCGGTCTCCTTCCTCCTCCCAGTCTTCTTCCTCCTCCGTCACGCACGGGTTTGCGACCCCCTCTTCCGCGTCCGTCTGCCAGCCTCGAGGTATCCCGGTGTCCGTGGGGGTGGGGGAGGAGTACCGAGGTGGCGAGCATGCTTTCCTCGCGGCTGTTGAGGCGGCTGGGCCAACGTCCCCCAATCTTTTCTGGCAGGCAAGATCGCCTCGAAGACCCCGTTGTTACGTTCTGGTTGGCGGCGGGTGTCCGTCACTTGGGCTCGCGCGAAGCCAGACATTAAATTGCTGGTGTGCTTCTTTGTCGTGTACACCCTTGCACTCTTGCTCCTGCTCCTGCTCCTGCCCCTCCTCCGCCTCCTCCTCCTCCTCCTCCTCCTCCTCCTTCTCCTCGCATCCCTTCGTGGTGGCATCATTCTCGTCTCTCGTGGCGCCAGCTCGTGGCACTCGGCTTCCGCAGCTCGCCTCGGAGCACCAAGCGGGAGGGCCTCCTGCCCCTGACCATGCCCCTACCCCCTCTCCGCTCGCACTCCCCCCCATCCTCACTCCCTCCTCCCTCCTCCCTCCTCCCTCCCTCCTTCCCTCCTCCCTTCGTCCCTCCCTCTCTCACTCCCCCGATCCTCCCTCCGTACTCCCTCCCTCCTCCCTCCCTCCTCCCTCTATCCCTCCCTCCCTCCCCCCCCCCTCCCCCCCTCTCCCTCCCTCCCCTCCTGCCCCTGCACCTGCCCCCCCCTCGCGCCGCGCCGACACGCCTCGCTGCCTCTGGGCGGGCGGGCCCCGGCGGGCCTCCCCCGGAGCCCCCCCCGAAGCTTCGCGTGCCGCCGCGGCGGCCTCGGCGACACACGACGCCTCGCAGGCGGATGGCGTGCCGCTCCGCTCCGCGGGGCGGGATCGGCGGCGAGCGAGGGGGGGAACGAGCAGGAGAAGGCCTTCTCTGAGGGCGCGGACGCCCCCGGGCCTTCTGAGAAGTGTGCCCGGGGCCTTCCCCGAAAACACGCAGCCGACCTTCTCAGAGGGCGCGAGGGCTTCTGAGAAGGCCTTCTCCTTCTCATTCCCCCCCCCTCGCTCGCCGCCGAAGTGTGCCTTGCATGCGGATGGCGTGTCGCTCCGCTCCGCGGGGCGGGAGGCCAGAAACAGCTCGGGACACCGGCGCATAGGAATGTGCAACGTGGCTGGTGTGCCGCGCTGGGTCGCGGTGGGCCAGAACTGGCGGCGCGACACGCCAACCAAAGTTCGAAGACCACTGGCAGGAAGGGGGGCTGCACGGGAAGGCTGAGCATCCCCGCGCATGCCACCGCAGGTCCGGCCGCCGCGCGGAGTGGGGGGATGACAACAGGCGAGCGACAACAAACAACCCACGGGCGCCGCCCCCTCTCCCGGCCGCCCGCGCCTCGCTCGGCTCGAGCGGGCGGCGGACGGCACAAGACGGCCTGGTCCGCCCTCGGGGCTGCAGGTCCCAGGGCAGCTGGGAAGTCTCTCTTTATCTCTATATATGTTGCTCTCTCTCCCTCTATCTCTCATGTTTTTGTTGTTTCTCTCTCTCTCTCTCCCTTTATCTCTCTCTTTGTCTATGCACAAATTTACCAATTGAGATATAGATGTGTACACTCCCCTGCGTCGGCACGCGGGTGGGGGTGTCAGCTTCCCAGCGGCCCCGGGCGCTCCCACTGGCGAACGAACAAATGTCTAGAGGCCTCCAAGACGGCGTCCGAGTGTCGGAAGATCGCGCCACATCGCCGATGCATCAACGGTACATCGGCGATGCATCGGCGACGTCGGCGGTGCATCGGAGACGCCAGCGCGGAGCAAATCAGGCTCCACATCGAGCCGCATCCGCGATGCATCGGCGATGTGGCGCTATCCTCCAACCCCATCTTTGGCCAGCGCGTTCCAGCAAAGGGCCTGGATCTGCCGCGGGGGATCTACAATCCGCGACATCGAGGCAAACATGCGTTTCTTTTTAAATCACGTTTGCGAGTAGACACTGTGCGAGCGGTGAAGCGCGCTCGGTGACATCTGCTCGGACACCGCCCGAGCGATGACACGACACGGGCCCCACGCGAGATGGCACGGCGGCCTTCCGCAGCGGCTTGCGCAGGCCGCCAGCGCGGCACGGCACATTGGACTCCTCCTCCTCCTCCTCCTCCTCCTCCTCCTCCTCCTCCTCCTCGAGGGCGATCGCCGCGACCTTGCGCGGGACGCCTTCGCGCCGACGTCGGCGCAGACGGCCCCGCTCTCTGCTCCGCGCCCGTCTGGGAGGCCTCTGACCGTCACGCCGTGCTGCGTCCGCCGACGGCCAGGCCCTGCCTGGCCACGGAGCAAAAAAAAAGAAAAGAAAAGAAGAAGCAGCAGCAGAAACAAACCAATCGAGCAGGGGATCGACTGCAGAGCTGACTTGCCCCAAACTTGATTCCCCATCGAATCTACGACGAAAACCTAGAATGTTCGTGAATCGACGGCGGCGTCTGCATACCTTCCTCAGTTCCCACGAGAAATCCCCAATCGGGGGGCAAATCAATTCTGTGGTCGATCCCCTACCCGAATAAAAAGTCACGAGCGCTTCTGCCCGCGGCCCCACGTGGAGCAGTTCGAGGTGGGCGCCGCGGGCATCCGAGGGCATCGCGCGAGCAGGCCACCGCTGCTCGTGCCTCCTTCCCTCCATCCTGCTGCTCATGCCTCCTCTTCCTGCCTCCTCCTCCCCTACTCCTCCTTCTCCTCCTTCTCCTCCTCCTCCTCCTCATCCCCCCTCCTCCTCATCCCTCCTCCTCCCCCTCCCTCTTCCTCCTCATCCCCTCCTCCTCGTCTCTCTTTCTCCTCATCCCTCTTCCTCCTCCTCCCTCCTCCCCCTCCCCACCCCTTCATGCCTCCACGCCCTGCCTGATGCGTCTCCGTCCCTTCTCGACCTGCTCGCGCCGTGCTCCGTGGGAGCGCGTCGCCCTGGATGCTCACTTATGTCACTTATGTCCGCTTATGATCACTGTGAGGCGGCACTAATGCGCCAACTGCTCCTCGAACATCTTGTACAACACCGAGAACGAGATTCCCGAGATCCCGTTGGCGGTGATCCGCGTCGTCAGGCCGCGGACGAAGAAACCTCCGACGCCGTCTGCCTGGATGACGTTCCGCACAATAGCTCCGTAACCAAGATCGCCCGCCTGCCGGCACGTCTTGATCACCCGGAGTGAGTTGGACACGGTGTCGGAGCATATCGACGCGCAGAAGCCAATCTCCGCGTTTCGCACCAGCTGCCGCGGACGCTCGCTATAGTTGGGAATATGATCGTTCATCGTGTTGAAGACAACGAACCAAGGGTAATGGCTGACGAAAGCGGCTGCCGACGAAGCAGCACTTCCGTGAAAGAGTACTCTTGCACCCTTGCGGTTCCACTTGGCGACGAGCATGGGGATGCCCCCCTTGCCCTCCACCTGCATGATCGTCTTCAGCGTGTCCACCGGCAAGAGAGCAGTGCGCCCAGCCGCGACGAGCGAAGAGGCGAATACGGTTTTCAGCCATGCCGGGCACCAGCCCATGTCCATACCATCGAAGAAGGCGAGCACCCCAGCGTTCGTGGCAGTGTCTCCGAAGCGCAGCAGCGGACCCTGGAGCAGCGCTGGGCCGAGACCGCGGTAGAACCGGGGCACCCCTCCCTCGGCGAAGAGGGTCGACACGGCTTGACGCATGCTCGCGCCGTACCTGTCGGGCACACGCTGGCATGGGTTGGGGGACCGTGGATCTAGCGCGTGGGGCGCCAGATCCACGGATCGGGGAGCGCAATCCCCGGAACATGGCACAAGTGCTGCCTGATAGGCACATGGCGACGGAACGCGCCAAGTCTACACGGAATCGGGACACGTCGCTAATCCACGCTCCTCAACCCGTGTTTGCGCTGCATCGGGCCTGTACTGGTGGTTCATGGTCGTCCGCAGCCACATCAGAGAGCCGACCTGCAGAGTCATGGCCATCGCGCCTGCGAGGCCCGCGCCGAGGGCGCGGTCGAGGCTCTGCTGCAACGCCAGTCCGAACACAGAGCGCGCGGCCTCGACCTCTCTTGGCGGCGGAGGATCTGCTGGGCCTGGGTTGCCAAGCTCCTCTGGAGGAAGAAAGCACACACACGCACACACACACACACACGCAAACACAAACACACACACACACATACACACACGTACACACACAACACACACACACACATGCATGCACACGCACACACACATGCACACACACACACGCACACGCACACGCAAACGCACACGCACACGCGTACACACAGACACGAACACACACACACACACATACACACACACACGCACACACACACACACACGCACACGCACGGACACACACGCACGCACGCACGCACGCACGCACACACATACACGCACACACACACACTTGTTGGCAGTCGCGGCCTCGTGCGGAGGACGAAACGGAGAACACAAACACAACACACAAACAATTCACACACATGCATGCACACGCACACGCACACGCACACACACACACACACACACACGCACACACCCACACGGACACACACGGACACACACACACACGGACACACATGGACACACACACATGGACACACACATGCACACACACAACACACACACACACGCACGCACGCACACAAACACGGACACACATGCACACACACACACAACCAGACACACACGGACACACACACACACACGGACACACACGGAGACACACACACACACACGCACGCACGCACGCATGCACACACACACACACAAACACCCGCACACACAGATACACACACAAACACAAACACACTTATACGCATACGCACACACAAAAACACACGCACGCACACACGCACACGGACACGCACACGGACACACACACACACACACACACATACTACACACATGCGCACATACACACATGCACACATACATACACACACAAACTCGAACCTATAGGCATGGGTGCGAGTTGTCGGAGGGCGGCAAAGCTCCAGATCCGAGCGCTTACCCCGTCCGACCTCGCCTACCAGGTCAGCAGACCCAGCTGGATGCGATATAGCCTCGACGGCTTGTTGGACGCTCGTTTCCTTAACGATCAGGCCCTGCATCCTGTGCGCCTCCACGTGGTCCCAGCGGCTTGTCGCCTCCGCGAGCAGCGAGCGCAGCGACAGGAACTCATCCTCCCTCGCCGCGAGCGCCCCGGCATTCTCCTCCGGCCCCGCGGTTCGCTCCGGGTCCCGCCTCCTGTCGGATACCAGGGCAAACGCCGGAGGAAACCCCGATCAATAAGCAACGTGTCGGTGTTGGTCAAGAACAAAGGATGACGAGGGTGGCCCTCCCTGTCCTCTATTCGCTAGTGTCAGATCTCTGATGTCTGCTGTGTGCTCTCTTCTGTCGTCTAAACCTCCTTGTCTCTATCCTCTACCTTCTACTCTATACTTCCTCAAACAGTGCTTGCAGTTAGGGCCTGTTAATTCTTTTCTAAAGAACTGGGCCTGGCTGGCGGTCTGGCGGCTCCGTGCTGGCCGTCGCCGCCCCGTCGCCGCCTCGTCGCGACCCGTCGTGTGGGCCTGGCTGGCGGTCTGGCGGCTCCGTGCTGGCCGTCGCCGCCCCGTCGCCTCCTCGTCGCGACCCGTCGTGTGGGCCTGGCTGGCGGTCTGGCGGCTCTGTGCTCGCCGTCGCCGCCCCGTCGCCTCCTCGTCGCGACCCGTCGTGTGGGCCTGGCTGGCGGTCTGGCGGCTCCGTGCTCGCCGTCGCCGCCCCGTCGTCGACCCGTCACAGCCTAGATCGCACAAAACACTTTGCGCCACATTGACTGCACCGCATAGATTGCGCTCAGTATGTTGTGCAACATATATCTCCTTCTTTAGCAAGACACGAAGGATCGAACACCCCCGAAGCACCGGTTATCGGTCCACCCTGGGGATGTGTAGTTTACATAAAAACTGTGCCCCGTCGCTCGCTGCACACATGGACTCATGTCATCTCAGCTAAACCAGGCTCGCCCCACCATCTCCATCAAATAATACTATACGGCCGCACTTTTTTTTTATCAACAGCCACCCATGTGCAACAATTCGTTGCAAATCATGGGGCAAACTGCGCACGCGCGCGTTGTCGCGCACGCGTGCCGGAATCCATCAACAACCATGGGTCTCTGAACGGATTCAAAATCGAAAATCCCGAACCATATTAACACCCATGGTTTCGCAATTACGTTTTTCAACCGACAAGCGCGCCCTTGCGAATTTTCAAGAAACCGTAGTTTTATGTCAGTATGTTCGTTATATGCGACCAAGCGGGCCTCTCGCGCGCGCAGGTCAACATCATTCGAAAACCCTCGCGCGCGCGCTGGGGGGGAAGCCTTCGGTGCCTGTCAAATGATGCCATGCAACCCACTCGCGCTCGCGCCCGTCGTCGTGGTCACCAGCATCGCTATTTTAATCATCGTGTCTGCCATAGCCGACGTCGCCATAGCACCGCGCCCGCCCGAGGCACAGACTCGCACTGACGTGCCCGAGCGTCAGCGCGGCATGCGAGACGCGCTGGGAAGTGCCCAGCGGTCAGCGCCTCCGCGGCCGCGTCGGTCGCGCCAGGCAAACTGGCCGCTCTGCGCGGGAGCCTGCGCGCGCTAGCGCGGCCGCAGCGCAGCGATGCGCCAGCCAGCGCCCAGCAGCCTTCGCAATCGACGCCACTTGGGTTTTGCAAACCAAGTCGCCGGTGGGTGGGACGACTACGCGAACAGTGGAGTTGACAACCTCGAGTTCGGCAGTGCGAATTGCACCACATGGGGTGCACCACATCGGTTGCACAACATAGATTGCATAACGTATGGTGCACCACATTAAATGGCACAACGTACATTGCACACCATCGGTTGCACAACATATATTGCACTTCGCAAGTTGCATCACGTAGAATGCACCACATCGGCTGCACGACATGTGTTGCGCAACATCGATGCTTCCCTTGTGTTTCCGGTTTCCTCCTTCCGCCCTGCAGCTCTTGGTCTCCTCCGTCCGCGCAGCCGACAGCTGGGGCGCGTGCTAAACATCAACGTTGCCTTGCGTTGTTTCACGGCCATGGGCGCGCCCCAGAGATCCGATGTCGTGATTTTTGTCAACACGGTGTCTCTAGAAGTCTCGACCCACTCCTGGGGGCCAGTTTTTCATCCTCAATTGTTTTTGGATGGTCCTGGGGCCCGGCGAGGGCCCCTAGAGGCCGAACGCTGCGAAAAACCTCCGCCATGAGTTTTTCAATGCGTTGGATCTCTGGGACCGTGGCCCCGCCCAGCTAGCAGTTCCAGGCTGCGGCGCCCGCGCGCGGCCTGGCGGAAACGCGCTGCTGGGGCCGGCGAGGCGCGCCGGGGCGCCACGCGCGCCCGGTACGACGCGCACGGGCAAGCCCGGGTGGCATCCTCGCCCCGCGCTGGAGAGCGTCCTCCCTCCCCGCCTGTTGAGGCCCAGTAACACGACGGGCGTGCTGACCCCTCACCCCTTCGCGACAAGGGGAGCGTCGCGCGTTCGTCGCCCGTGCGCCGCCCGTGCGTCGGCCGCCGAAAAGGCCGGCCGTCCTCGCCCCTCCACGCGCGCGTGGAGGGGCGAGAACCTCGCCCCTCCACGCGCGCCGCCCTCTTCGTCCCAGCAAAAAAAAACACACTGAATTTCATCACAATTTTCGGCCTCCAGGGGCCCTCGCCAGGCCCCACGACCGTCAAGCCACGACTCAGGATGAAAAGCTGGCCCTCGGGAGTGGGTGAGACTTCTGGGGGCCCCGTATTGAAAAATGACGACATCGGATCTCTGGGTCGGATGTGTGTGGGCAGGTTTCTCCGGAACTCTATTCCGTGGTTCGCGGGGGCCTTTAGGAGCCAGGTGCCCGTACCCACCTGACAATCCGCATTCCCAAAGCAATACTTGCACTCCAACAGCCCGTCCTAGCGTGCCCCGAGCCGGTCGGGAGCTGGCCTTCACCGTCTGGGGGGCCTCGCAGGTGCCTCCCGGGAGCTCTGGAAGATTGCACGAGGAGGCTCGCAGAGACCCCTCCCCAAGGGGAGTTTCGGCGCCGCCAGGATCTCAACCGCACGTTTTGCGCCATGGGTTCCTCCAGCGCGGCGCGTCCGTGCAGTCGGGGGTTCATCGGGTCTACAGGCCAGCAAGTTTTGCGGGTGGGAGGGTAGGATGTTTGCACGAGCGTGGGAGGTGGTCACGCGCGGTGCACTGTGGTCAATTGCGCAACGTAGATTGCACCGTGTATATTGAAGCAGATAGACTGCTCCACCTGGACTACACAAACTTTGTTGCTAGAAACACATTGTTTGGGGTCCACGCCGGCTAACACATCTGCTCGAGGCTGTTGACTCCGCAGCCCAGACCATTTTCAAATTCGTAATCCCACCAGCCTTTTGGGCGACAGGTGGTGTAACGAGGGTTCTTTCCTCTTCCGCAGCCCCTCCTCCCTTCGGGGAGGGGAACCCTCCCCCTCCCCTCCCTGAGGTTTCTTGGGAAGGATCGCGAGATGTCGCAAGTTCGTTTCTCGGCCCATTCTTTGCCACCCCTCACGAGGATCGTGGCCCCCAAGGGGGGGACCTAAATCGAATACCCCCGCTATTTTGACCGATCGCCTCCAAGATGGCCCCAAGAGGCCGTCCAGGGCTCACCAGAGGCCCCGAGGGTTCCAGTAGCGCCCCGAGAGGCCCCAAGAGGGCTCCAAGAGGCTCCCGAAAAGGCCTCCAAGAGGCCCCCGACTGGCCCCCAAGCGGCCTCGGAGAGCCCAGGATGACCTCCAAGATGGCTCAAGATAGTGCAAGCTTGCGAAACATGGTTCCAGAATGCCCCAAGAGGCCTCCAAAAAACACCCGAGGAGGCCCCCAAGAGGCCCCCGAGCGGCCTCAGAAAGCCGAGGATGATCTCCAAGATGGCTCCGATAGCCCAGGCTGGCTCAAGATGGCTCCCAAGATGCTCCAAGAAGTTCCAAGACCGCTCCAAGACGGCTCGAGATGGCCACGGAGCCTCCCACACCTCCCTCGCTGTTTGACTATGCGTGTCTTTTCCATTATCTCCCCATGATCTCTCATGGACATCGTTTCTGGATGGGCTGGGGATAATTTTTTAGTCAGCGGCCGCGGGCGAGCGCGCCGGCGGCGAGTCCAGTCAAAGCGGGGCACGCAGCGACGAATTAAACTAAAGCAGCGGAAGGGGGCCACACCTACAGCGGCTAACCGGGGCTTCGCGCAGCAGCTCAGCGGCGGACCGGCGAGTGGATGGGGGCAGCTGAAACTGAGTCGTACTGCCAGACTGCTGGGGATATTTTTTTCCCCGCGGCCGCGGGCGAAACCGCACACGGCGTGTCGTAAGTCCGGGGCGCGGGCCTACGAATTGAAACAGCGACAGAAGCAAAGGCTCTGCTGGGGATACGCGAAGCGTCAATAATCTCTACTCTCTGCTCCCTCTTCGCCGCTTTCTGCGCTCGGCACTCTGCGTTCCGATCCGTCTGTACTCTTTATTCTCAAATCTCCTCTCTCCATTCCCTATTGTGCTTCCCTCTTTGTGCATATATGTATACACATATGTTAGGCTGCGTGGGCCCCAATACGTGGTGTGCAATCTTCGTTGTGCGCGATATGTGGTGCAATCTACGTGACCCAATCTAGGTCGTGCAATCTATGGTGTGCTATTAACCAGCCAACTCCGCGCGCGACCACCTCGCATGCTCGCGCAAACCTCCTACTAACCCATCCGCAACTTAGTTGCAAAAGCCATGCGGAGGCGATTGCGATGGCTGCTTGGCGCTGTCTGGAGTATCGCCGCAGCCGCGCTAGCGCGCGCAGGCTCGCGCGCAGAGGGACCAGCTACTCTGGCGCGACAGACATGGCCGCGGTGGCGCTGACCGCTGGGCACTTTCCCGCGCGTTTTTCATGCCGCGCTGACGCTCGGGCACGTCAGTACGAGTCTGTGCCTCGGGCGGGCGCGGTACTATGGCGACGTCGGCTATGGCAGACACGATGATTGAAATAGCGATGCTGGTGACTACGACGACGATGGCGACGGGAAGGCCAAAGACGGCAGCGATGCTGATCACGCCGATGACGATGATGGCGTCCACGTGTTAGCAGTGAAAGTTCCGGAAGGACTTCGACATGCGCGCGCGGCCGGCGCGCGCGAGTGACGCGCATAATGACATTTGACAGTGATCGTCTCGCCCCCCCCATCACACGCGCAAGGGCGTTGGAATGATGTCGGCATGTACGCGCGAGAGGCCCTGTTTTTCAACTGTGATGAATATGTTTAGAATAAAGCGGTGGTCTTCCCAAAGCTTCGCAAGAGCGCGAGCGCAGACTCATTTGAACATTCATGTTGCAAAGCCATCGTTTGTTATATATGTGCTCGGGGCACTCGATTTTGAAATCCTTGCGAAACCTCAGGTGTTTGAAGGATTTCGGCATGCGCGCGCGTCAACTCTCGCGTGTGCATTTCGTCTGTTCATTTGCAAGGGATTCTTGACAACTGACGATGTTTGATCAACGAATGCGCGCGCATGGTCTGATCTGACAGGGATGGCGGGGGAGGGCTCGATACCAGCGGGCCTGCCTGGGATGCTATGAGTTCATATGGCATATGGACGAGGAGGCAAGACCATATGCAAATTGTGATACGCGAGGGTGAGCGGTGAAGTCTGGCCTCGGAGGGGTGTCGGAATCGACTCTGTTATTGCGTTGTGCAAAATAGGTTGTGCAATCTGTGTTGTGCAATGTATATTTTGCAATCTATGGGTTGCAGTACATACACTGCGCAATATAAATATATATATATATATATATATATATATGTTGTGCAATCTATGTGGTGCAGTCCATGTTGTGCGGCGACGGGGCGGCGACGGCGGGCACGGAGCCGCCAGACCACCAGCCAGGCCCAGACGACGGGCGGCGACGAGGCAGTAATGGGGCGGCGACGGCGGGCACGGAGCCGCCAGACCGCCAGACAGGCCCAGACGACGGGCAGCGACGAGGCGGCGATGGGGCTGCAACAGCGAGCAATGCGACGCCAGACCGCCGGCCAGCCCCTGCTCCGCAGAAAGACAGAAGGAGCTCTAAGTGCAAGCACCGCTTGGGGAATCTATTCTTCCTACTCCCTCTACTCTCTCTACTGTGTTCTCTCTATTAGCGGTGTCCAGGAACCAGGCGACTGCCAGCGGGAATAGCTGACCAGCTTTCACCAAAGATCCGAACAGACATCCTGGGAACCACGGAACCCAGCCGCTTGCTGAAATCGGCAACGCATGTCCACCGAATCTTTACAACACCGACACCCAAGACCTGGATTCATGAAGCCGAAAACTCGGCCTTCGGTTCGGAACCCCTTCCATGCAAGCAGTGATTGGGGCACGAACGTCGACTTCGGCCGTGCTCATTTCACGCGGGTGTGGCTTTCCGACCTCCCGCTCCTTGACGGTAACACCACCCCGCCATGTAACCTGGGCGACTGCGAGGTATGGCCTTCTCGGAAGGAGTTGCCCCACTCCTCATACTTCCTGGGTGCAGCCTGCTGCTCGGTGACGAGCGCGGAAAGCTCCTCTACCATGAATCGCTTGAAACCGCCGTCTGAATACTGCACTTTCAACATGGAATCTGATCTGCGCACGTCCACGATCCTGACCCCGAAAGAGCTGCCGGCCCACCACCGCCCTGTGCCGGCTATGTAGACGTGCTGCCCGACCTGCCAGCTGTCGAGCTCGGCATCGTAGTCCAGCGCCGACGCCAACGACCAGAACTCCTCCAACTCGAAACGCTTGAAACCGCCGTCCGTGTACCGGACCTTCACGGTCCCATCTGAACCACGCACGTCCACCACGACAGCCCCGAAATGGCGCCCCGTCCACCACTGGCCAGTCCCAGCGAGGTACACGCGCTGCCCGACTGTTGGAGGTGCGCTCGCGACCCCCTCGTCGCCCATGGCCGTCAAGCGGTCATGCCTACTGCGTCACCAGGCTCGCCTTGAGCCAAAAGGCTGCGGACTCCTCCTCCTCAGCCTCTCCTTCCTTCCGCCCCAACCCACCCCAGACATCCGACGGTAACACGCCGCCCAGGAGGCCCGACCCCTTCCCCTGGGGCTATCTTTGGTCGCACTGGGCCCCTTTTTGCAGCCCCGGGGCCCGATAAAGGACCCAGAGGCCGAAGTCATGGAAAAGCGCCTGGATTGAAAAAAAAAACAGTGAACCTTTTCTTTTTCGGCGTTTCGACATTGGGCGGAAGGGGGAGAATGGGGGGGGGGGAAGTCTGGCTCCGGACCTCTGCTCCGTGCGACTGCTTGCAGCAGTGCGTCCACCTGCATGAAACAGGGGCTAACAAAAACAGCCAAGATCTGCTCCATTTGGGGGGGAGGGGGGAGGTGCGATGGCCCGCACCGATCGGCTAAACAAAGAATGAGACAACGATCGCTTGAAAAAAACATCTCCGCAGAGGCCTGGCACCGTCGAGGGCCTCCAAACGAAGCAGGCAGGCTCGGTCAGACGACGTCGCGCGAGAGCCCCTCGAGCGGCCCACCGCCCTGCAGCATGCTTGAGCGCTGGGCCCCGGGTCCTCTGACGAGGCGTGCGGGCCGGCCTCGAGGCCCGCCCAGGTGCTCGTAGATCCTGTGTGGCACCCGCTGGCAGAATGGCTGCACCAGCGGCAGAGGTAAAAAACGGGGGCACCGAGACGCGAATCGCCCAGCGTGCAGTAGAGGGGAGAAGACCCGTTGGCCAAAACAAGCGGCCAGCCGAGGTCCAGCGGGGCCCTGGAGCTTCTCCGAGCGGTCCGACAAAGGCCCCCGGAACTTGGACACTTCCGCCTCGCTCCTCGCTCCTCCTCCTCCTCGCTCCTCCTCCCCCTCCTCCTCCTCCTCCTCCTCCTCCTCCTCCTCCCCCTCCTCCTCCTCCTCCCCCCTCCTTCCTCCTCCTCCTCCTCCTCGTTTCCTCCACCTCCAGCTCCTCCTCCTCCTAGCTCCTCCTCCTCCTCCTCCTCCTCCTCCTCCTCCTCCTCCTCCTCCTCCTCCTCCTCCTCCTCCTCCTCCCCCTCCTCCTCCTCCTCCTCCTCCTCCTCCTCCTCCTCCTCCTCCTCCTCCTCCTCCTCCTCCTCCTCCTCCTCCTCCTCCTCCTCCTCCTCTTCCTCCTCCTCCCTCTCTTCCTCCTCCTCCCCTCCTCCCCCTCCTCCTCCTCCTCCTCCTCCTCCTCCTCCTCCTTCAGATGCTTCACCTCATGCTCATCCTGCCCTTCCTGCTCTTCCTGCTCCTTTTCAACCTCTTCCTCCTCCTCCTGCTCCTCCTCCTAATTCATCCCTAAACGTCCATCTTCCTGGATCATCCCCTCTCCTCCACTCGCCATCTGACCTGCACTTGTCCTGAGACCTTGGCTGAAACTTGCTCGAACGCCCTTTCCCCTCAGAGCCACATAGAGCATCCAGCACTCCCCTAGAACATAACACAACCTTCTAGAACATCCATCCTCTCCCTCCCGCCCGATGTAATCCCCGAGCCTCTTAGGAACCCCATGGAGCATTTGAGCAGCTTGCACTCCTTCTTCGACGGCGGTGCCGCAGCCCAGTCGCCGACGAGCCCACGCCAACGTCGTCGTCGTCGTCGGCGTTGGCGTCGGCGTCAGCGTCAGCGTCGGCGTCGGCATCGGGGTCGGCGTCGGCGTCGGCGTCGGCGTCGGGGTCGGCGTCGGCGTGGTCGTGGTCGTCGTCGTCGTCGTCGTCGTCGTCGCCGTCGTCGGAGTCTTGCTCTTCATCGTCGACGTCTCCGACACTCGACATGGCGGGTCCTCTGGCGGCGTGGCGCCCCGTGCCCAGACGCCGACGAGCCCCCGTCGCCTTTGCCGTCTTCGTCGTCAGCCCGACGACGACGACGACGACAACGACGACGACGAGCTCTCCGACGGCGGTGCCCAAGCCCCAGTCTCCAGGCGGTTGCCAGCCAGTCGCGGGGCCGACCCTCCCCCCCCGGCGAGGGCCTGCTGCCTGGAGAGGAGCTCGGGCTTGCACAGGTCCAGCGCGGCCAGCAGGCCCTGGTACAGGGGAGGGTAGGCTGGCAGACTCCGCCCTGCTCTGTTCCACCACTACAGTCGGTAGGAGAGGGAGGGAGGAGGAGGAGAGGGAGGAGGAGGAGGAGGAGGGGAGGAGGAGAGGAGGAGGAGGAGAGGAGGAGGAGGATGAGGAGGAGGAGGAGAGAGGGAGGAGGAGGAGGAGGAGGAGGAGAGGAGGAGGAGGAGGAGGAGAGAGAGGAGGAGGAGAGGAGGAGGAGGAGGAGGAGGAAGGGAGGAGGAAGAAAGGGAGGAGGAAGGAGAGGAGGAGGAGGAGGAGGAGGAGGAGGAGAGGAGGAGGAGGAGGAGGAGGAGGAGGAGGAGGAGGGGGAGGAGGAGGGAGAGGGGAGGAGGGGAGGGAGAGGAGGAGGAGGGAGGAGGAGGAGGAGGAGGAGGAGGGAGGAGGAGAGGAGGAGGAGGAGGGGAGGAGGAGGAGGATGGGATGATGCTGCTGCTGATGATGCTGATGATGCTGATGATGATGATGATGATGATGATGATGATGATGCTGATGATGATGATGTTGATGGTTGTGGTGATGGTGATGGTGATGATGCTGCTGCTGATGATGGTGATGGTGATGATGCTGCTGCTGCTGCTGATGATGATGATGATGATGATGATGATGATGATGATGATGATGATTATTAGGAGGAGGAGGAGGAGGAGGAGGAGGAGGAGGACCTCCACATCCTCGCTTCTCCCCCATCCTACCTGTGGTAGTGGTGATGGAAGATTGGCCCATCACCTTCCTCCGGCCAGGAACTTTTGCTCCGCGTGCTGCGGCGGCAGCCGCGGCGACACGCTGTGCCGAGCGAGCGGATCGCGTGCCGCTCCGCTCCGTGGGGCGGTAGGCTGGGCAGGGCTCGGGACGTGGACGCATGGGGGCCAGGACGTGGCTCGGGTCGGGCGAAAGGGGGGGATAGCAAAGGGGGGGTTTGGGAATCAGCTCACGTAGCTGATTTTCCCGGCGCCTCCCGGCGCCGGGAGGCGCCCATGTATCGAGGAATGGGCCCAGCGGCGAGGCTCAGACCAGCTGCATGCAGCAGATGTCGTAACCCCCCCTTTCCCTATCCCCCCCTTTCGTTCGGCCCGAGCATGGGGGCCAGGACGTGGCTGGCGTGTCGCGCGCAAGCGCGGTGGGCCAGAACCGGCCCAAGCGACGCGCTGAGCGAGCGCCAAAGTTCCTTGTCGTGGGCTGGCAGACTCCGCTGCTGGCGGCGAGCGACGGGGGGAAGTGAGAAGGGGCGGGCCTTCTCAGAAGGCTCGGAAGTCCCCCCGCCTTCCGAGAAGTCCCCTGGGCCTTCCCCGAAGACACGAACATCAACTCCTCGCAAGGCCGGAGGGCTTCTGAGAGGCCCCGCCGCCTTCGGGGAGGGCCTTCTCCTCCTCACTTCCCCACACCTCGCTCACCGCCGACCATGCTCCCATCTCCTTCCTGCCTGCGGCTGGAGCGCGGGGCCTGGCAAGGCCCGGCGGTACACGAGCCTCAAGAGAGGCAGGCGGGCCCACAGCCGCCGGCGATGTCGCGAGACGCGGGGCGCCCGATCACGGATCAAGCAAGACGCTGTGTGCCTCCTCCTCCTCCTCCTCCTCCTCCTCTTCTTCCTCCTCCCCCTTCCATCTCCACCTCCATCTCCATCTCCTCCTCCTCCTCCTTTCTGACGTTGCTCGGACATTGATCGAATGATCGCTGCGTCTGTGTGGCGTGAAAAAAAGGATCGCCGACTCGGGCCTGAGGCGAAGGGAGTGCGCCTGGCGGGCGCAGCAGGAAGAGGATGGCACAGAAGAGAAGGGAAAAAACAGTGGGCGCTCGAGGGCATATATCGGGTCGGGCGAAAGGGGGGGATAGCAAAGGGGGGGAGTGAGGATCAGCTCACGTAGCTGATTTTCCCGGCACCGGATGCGGCTATGTATCGAGGAATGGGCCCCTCGGTTGGGCTGAAACCAGCTGCATGCAGCAAATTTCGTAATCCCCCTTTCTCAATCCCCACCTTTCGTCCGGCCCGAATCTAGAGTATGCACCCGCCAGGCGGTGAGGTAGAGAGAGAGAGAGTAACGAATCTCGAACAAGTCGTGCATACTCCAACTTGGACCTGATGGAGAGAGGGGGAAGCGCCGATCAGATAGGACAAACTACGCGTGCCAATAAAGACACGTCCTGCAGTACGGGGCTTGCATGCACTTGTTGAGCAGGTGTTACTTGGTGGACTGTCTATCCAATAGGGTTGCTAGGCAGCCAGAGTAGTGATGAGGCAGAGCATTGAGGTGTCCTTCTGTTCCTCCTCCTCCTCCTCCCCCTCCTCCTCCCCCTTCTACTCCTCCTCCTCCTCATCATCGTCATCATCATCATCATCATCATCATCATCATCATCATCATCATCATCATCATCATCATCATCATCATCGTCATCATCATCATCAGCATCCATCATAGCATCAGCATCATCAGCATCAGCATCAGCATCAGCATCATCAGCATCAGCATCAGCATCATCATCATCATCATCATCATCATCGTCATCATCATCAATCATCATCATCATCATCATCATCATCATCATCATCATCATCATCATCATCATCATCATCATCACATCATCATCATCATCATCATCATCATCATCATCATCATCATCATCATCATCATCATCATCATCATCATCATCATCATCATCATCATCATCATCATCATCATCATCATCATCATCATCATCATCATCATCATCATCATCATCATCATCATCATCATCATCATCATCATCATCATCATCATCATCATCCCTCCTCCTCCTCTTCCTGCACCTCCTCCTTATCCTCCACATCCCTCCTCCCGCCTCCCGCCTCCTCCTCCTCCTCCTCCTCCTCCTCCCCCATCCCTCCTCATCCCTCCTCC